CATTCTATGATTCTATGATTCTATGGCTTTCTGACAGGGCCTGTGGTCACAGCCCTGCTACACTGGAATCAACATGCAACACACTGCACGGCTGTTCTCTCTCGTGACACAGGAACTGTCCTTTTAAGCATGTGGCCACGGTCTGTTACTAGCCATGGCAGTACTGTTCTTCCTGGGCTACTGGGCTACTGGGCTAGAAAACAATGGAAGGGGTGGAAGTGCTATGGACCGGTTTTAGAGCAGTAAAGCAGATTTCTTGTGAGAACTGTTCCATCCAGTCCTGCACAAATGCTTCTCTCCCTTCAGTTTTGTGTTTTGGTTTTGAACAGGTATCCTAACCTCTAAGAAAGCAGAGGAGCTTCTGATTAAAACAGTACCAGGGAGTTTTCTGGTCCGTGTCAGTGAGAAAATCAAAGGCTACGTGCTCTCCTATCGGTCTGTGGAAGGATGTAAACACTTCCTCATTGATGCCTCCAGTGATTCCTACAGCTTCCTGGGAGTGGACCAGCTACAACATTCAATGCTGGCTGACCTTGTAGACTACCACAAGGTGAACATCTAGCAATGCATTCATTAACTGTTTGTTTAATTGCCTCAGGGCACTTCAAAACAAGAAAGAACAGCTTCAGTCATTTTAAAGTAGGTAACTAGACCTGTTTTTGCTGCTGTTGCGTATCCCTTGTGCTGCTCCAGAAGGGTATGCCAGCCTGATGGGTACATCTCCGGCAACCTGACACATTTCAAACATCTTAGACCTGACACACTCCCCCTCAAGTGCGCAGAACACCTTGAACACAGGGCTTGAGTTACTTATATACCATTTTGTAGAAATGCTGATAAGGTGAGAGATGACAGCATATTCATGCAGACTCCTTTGTTTTTTGGATTCTCTCCATGGTTGTGGGGTCGCAGCAAGTTGGGTAAGCAGAAAATCCTGCTTGTCTCCAGTTTCAGCATGAAATAGAACCAGTTATCTTTCTAATCTCAAAGCAGGCAAGGTGTGATACAGAGCAAAGATGAAAAATCGAAGGGAAGGAGAAAGGTTGGCAGATTCTTGCCAACAGTGTTTGCTAGCACTGACTTTAGTTACATGGGCTCCAACGAGGGCCAGATGGATTGTTCATTCCTTTACTGTAAGATCTGCCCAGGGATAGGAAATCATTTTGCCTAAAGGTTCATTTAAAATCCATGTTTCTTTTAGATAAGCGCCTAGCCTAATACAGACACGGCTAAACGAAGTTGGACATGAAAAAAATATCTAAGTTCATTTGCTATATGGAGCTTGACCTGGGCTACCTGACCTTGCTTCTTCCATGGGTTTCACAGTTCAGGCTGAAAATGTTGGAGCTGTACAGCTGTTCTACCAGAGCCAGAGGATTTAAAGCCTGGCTGTGCATATCCACATTTAAGAGAGTGCCATGCCCACAGTCTGCAAAGAATCCTCCAGACCTCCTGCACTGCAGCAGGTGCAGGCAGGGTCAACCCACCCTGCTGAAGTGCTCTAGGGTGTTCTGTTATCACCCAACAGGTGGCCATGAAAGAGGGCAAGTTCCCACCATGCATCTGCTGCTAGGGTGGAGAACGAGATGGGAAGGAGAGACCATACTGTCAGGGGATTCCCTTGTTAGAGTAGGGCTTGCGGGAGCAGAGGGCATGTGCTCACTCCAGGATCCACCCTTGTCCCTCCCACAAAGGCAGCTAGGCGCACGGTCCACAATCACTCCGGCATGCTTACCTCCATGCTGCACAGTCCTCGCTCCAGCACTTTGTAGGCAGGGCAGCCTGTCACACCACAGAAGCTGTGGTTGCCTACGAGGTGAGCACAGCTCTTCCTGAGAACTTCCAGAGCCGTGGCACTGGGTTACTGCACCGAACACAGACGTTTTGTGAAGACAGAGGTCAGCCATGTGGGTCCTTCCCCGAGCTCCCCGGGTCACTGAGCTATGCCATACAGCGGGACGAACAAGTCCACACCATAGCAGAGGCTGGGAGACTGCTGTCCACCCCATAATGTTGTGATAGATGGGGTCTGTTTGAAAGGTGGTGTTTAATCATAACTTGTATCAACAGGATGAACCCATCACTTCCTTGGGGAAGGAGCTGTTGCTTTACCCGTGCGGCCAAGAGGACCAAGAACCAGACTACATCTCTCTCTTCGAGTGAACCTCCCGGTCTCGCTGTGCAGCCCCATGCTTGTATTCACAAGGACTGAACTTCAAACTAGAGCTGCTGCTGCTTACCTGGACTGGTTGCCATAAGTGCCTCTATTTTATATCCTTCGCGATAAAGCAGTGGGAGGATAGGTACTGTTGTAGGCTGAGTTAAAGATGCCCAGCAAGCTGCAAAGCACCTGGTTGTATCCTGCACAACGGAGTGAATGAGATGATGAAGTAATCAGTTGAACAAGGAGATACTGCCACTGTTCTCAGTGGGTTTTTGCAGATTTCCTGTGGGACTTGTGTATTCGAGCTGCCTTTTGTTCTTGAGTGCAAGGTTGTGCGCCACCTCAGAAACAGATGAGGATGTATAGTCGAATGAGATCATACCTTCCTGGAGGCACGGAACAAGTTGGAGAGGTGAATCAGTCTTGATATAGTAATTTGCATGATATGAAACTTAATCCTGTAAAGTGCCGCGCCCTTGGAATCAAGGATGTTCAAGCCAAACATCCAAGCAAACTCTTGGTGCCTTTCAGTGAAAGGTGTTCTTTGAGAAGAGGGATTTTCATGAAAAGTGAATTTTTTAAACTCCTTTAGCCTCTGAATATAGATCCTCACTCTTTTAACTTGTATTTAAATCCCACACTGGCCTTTGTGCATAGAGAGGGATTAACCTTTTGAAAGGGAAAGAAAAGAGATACAGGAATTTGTAGGAAAGACTATCACATACACTTAGCCTAAAAAATGTAAGAAGCAGCACCTTTATCAGTATTAGTATGGTTTACAGAAGAGTGTTTGCCAGTAAAGAATGATGTTTTCCAAAATGGAGCTGTTTATTGCAAGTTGTGTCCAGATTACTGACGTGCACCTGGTGTAAACTTTCACACAGAACTTCCTCTTTCAACATAATGTTCTATCTTCTTAACTATTGCACTGCTCTTTAAATACATAATTCAGAATGTCGAGGGAAAGGCTGGACAGGATCCTACAACAAATTAATCCTCACTCAGATTCCCTCATGCTGAGAATGATTCCCTCATTCTCAGCACATGTACAGCTGAGGATTGTGGTGTGTGTCTGCTGACATAGTTTAGAGATGCGATCCTCAAGTAGTGAACAAGAGACAGTCTTGTTTCAGGTGTTTTCCTGTTCCCTTCTTTCTGTTGGATCAGGGCCACTCTGCTTAACTTGAGGAAGCAGTCAAAAGCTTCAGTCTTACACTGATTTGCAGTGCAGTCTTATTCTGATTCTGCAGAATACAGATTAGAAGAAATTGTTGTAATCATCTGGTCTTAGAATTTACAACTATTCTGACAGGTGGTTTCCAAACAAGGAATGGGGATAACTGCACTCCAGTTACAGCAGGTTTAACTCACTAGAGATAAAGCCTTAACGTAAAGTGAGATTCTGAAAATAACAACGCTGTGGCAAGGCAAGAGACTTAAGGAGATTCTTGAGCCCTGTATCACATGTATCAAAGCGTTATTTTCAACAGAATCTGCATCAATCATGAGAGGGGGTGCTAGGTTATTTGTAGGGGAAAAACAAATCCCTCCTTCCCTCTTCATGAACGGTTTCTTTTGAAAAATATGGCCAAAATGAAAGGTCATTCAGAGATCTTAGAGAAAAGTTAGCATCTGTTCTCATGTGAAGAACATGGCGTAGCTGTTGTCCTGCTGGAGACAAATCACAAAGTGTTTTGTATACGTATGGGCTGGTAAAGACAGGAGGCAAAATCTCCTTTAAAATGGCAGTTTGAGAGGTAGGGTGTTAACCTGCAGAAATCAGGTGCAGGCTGATCTGGCATGGACACAGCAGGACTGCAGGACAGCAGGACATGACTGATTTTAGCTCTAAGATCTATAGTGGAACTCCTCAGGGTTTGAACTGCTGACCAGCAGACCAGTAGCTTCACATACCTTTATATTATAACTTTATATCATAACTTTATATTATAACTTTATATTATAACTACTTATTTGCAAATGTTGGCTCAGTAGAGCCCAGGGAAAGTCACTGTCCGTGTTCGTGTCTATCCCATGCGTTTGAGAATCACGCCTCAGTTTTTTAGAGTCCCAGCTTCACTTGTCTGCTGTGAGGGAAGAGACCTGAGGTGTTACACCTGCACAGTTAGATTCCTGCACTGACTGCAAAGGCAGCACCCTTGCCAGAAGAGATGCTCTCAGGACTGGCTCTGCTCTTGCTCTGAAATCTAGTTACCCCGAAAGTCTGTGGAGCCCTGACTTGCAGGGGTCGGGAATCAAGGGTGCTGGCTTGTCCTGGGCAGCTTCTCTGTAGAATCTTGCTTTCTTCAAGGGATGATGTGCAAGGATGGCAAGAGTGGTCACATTTGAAAATTGCTTGCTGGAGACATCATGACACCCGGAAGGATATGGCAATTTGTTTTGCCCCGTGCCTCTATGCCTTTAGCCAGAGCACGCAACAGCCATCAAAAATTAAAGCAAGGAGTCCCCATATGGCCTCTCTGTCTGCTCAGGGTGGTCTCTCTTCCCTCTCCAGCTAAGATCCAGTCTGTTGCCATTCCGAGAAAGATAACAAGCTGTTTCTGGGAGCAGAAAGGTAGAGAGCTGCCTGGCAAAAGTTCCATTGGCTGCTGTCTTTGGATTTCATGTTTTTCTACCTGGTCTGAAAGACCTGTTACAGTTCCACTTGGCTCACAGAAACATAGCTAACAACAGCTTCCCTTACTCATGTTGTTCTTCACCTCCCATATCAGTGTGGTCTCCACCTTTAAGAGAGCTCTGCCAGACTTCTCCTGTGATTAGATTCTGGTGCACATCACTGAGGTGGCCAGTGACTGCGGGCTGGCTCTCTCCATCATTGATTCAGTCCCACCTCTTGCCAAACCAGCTTCTGCAGCCAAGGAAAAGGAACTGCACAGACAGCATTATTCTTGGCAGGAGGAACAGCATCTTTGTGGAAAAGGATGTGCAAGACAATCACAAAGGTGCTATTTGAAAACATAACTTGTGAAACTCTGACAGGGGCTGGATGACGTGCTTGCTAAGGTACCCAAAGTAACAAAGTGTTGAATTTACAGGTGTCCAGTGCTGAGAGTTAGAGACAAATACAGGTTTGAAGGGACCCATGGAGATCACCTGGTCTAGCCCTGCTCTACCAGTGTGGCCAACCTTAAAGTTACATTAAGTTGCTGAGGGCTTAGAGAAACCTAAAGGAAAAACCACAAAAAAAAACCCCAAACATCATGGAAATAAGTTAAGGCTGGGCTTGAGGCAGGTTATGATTATGAAACTTTCTTAATATACATCACTGAGTTTAAAATTCAGGTTAAGTCGGGCTGTAGGAACAACGATCACCTTGGAGCAGCTCAGTTACAACAGCTCTCACATGCATTCAACAAGCCATGCCTGTCTCCTCCTACTGCATAATGTTTGTAAAGTTAGTCCATCAAAACAACGCCCTTTATAAAAAATTTATTATGTATTCTGGGAACAAAATGTTCTTTGGAGGACCTGCTTGAGTTATTGCTGAAGTTTTTATGGTAAGTTATATATTTGAGGGTTGCTTTTTTTTAAGCATACAGAATTTCCATTCTTTTTGTAATTTTGCAGTGGCTTTGGACATTTGGTGATTTGCAGGGAAAGCTCATCATTTGCATCTCACAAAAGACAAACACATGTAAGCATGTGTCAAGGGAAGAGGTACTTACAGTAGCATGGTCTCTGTCTGCAGGTTCTGCATGCAATGACTTCAAAAGAGGTTCATAAGCACTCCTCCTACTGCACAGTGGCACAGCAAATAGTATTTTGTTCATTGTTCACTGCTATCTTGCATATTTCTTCCCTCAGCTTTTCAAGCCAAAACCCAAATTAGGATTTAATTTCAGACTGTCTTGAATTATCTGAAGCTATAAAGCAAAGAGACCGCTCAGAGAAACAGCATTTAGGTAAGCAAATGGGATTTCCAAGCCCAAGCAGTTTTTGTTGGCTAGTATATATTAAAATGATAAACAGCAGTCAGCATTAAAAGGAAATGCTTTATAAGAGCAGCGACTCATGCTTTCAACAGTTTTAGGCAATTGAGGAAAAAAATCTTTTAAGAAGGAGACTAATTTTTAGGATGCGTCTGTAATTATTGTAAGAGAATTTGCAGGGTCCAGTAATCCATCACAAAAATTTATTTTCTTAATTACAGAAAGCGTGCTATGCCCTGGGCAAGATTCTATATTTGGTTTAAAAGGAATACTTTGGTATAAAGTCAGAAAATGCTCATCAATTTTGGTATCTGACATGCAGAGTTTAAAGCCTCCTGCTAAATCCGTAATGCAAGTCGATATGTATTTCATTTTCTTCAGCATGGTAAAGCTTCTGCCTTCCAGCACCCAGGTTGTGTAGAAAAATCACTCCATTTATCTGAACCCAGTTCCAGTCTGCAGGAAACACAGATCTGCAGAGCATTTTCCAAGTGTTGGAAGGCTGTACCATTTCCTAGTAAGGCTAGAAGTAGAAAACTTGAAGTATGACAAAATAATTCCCGAGCAAAACCAACTTCATTTAAAAATAAATCTTGAGATACTTAGAGTATTCTAAAGCAGAAATACACCGATTCATGTGATACAGACATGGCTCTTTGCTTTTCATTTACTGCCCACAGAAGAGAACAAACACTGCCCTTCAGCGTTTTTGAAACATCACACTTGACCAGTGGGGCTTTCCATTTCTGCGTTTTAGAAAGCACTTTCGGAGTTTCCTCTTGTCTCTGAGTGAATTTGTTAGTGCGCTGCTGCTGTCCCCCCGCCCCAGCCCCTTAAGGGAAAAGGATTTTTGGTCGCTCCAGCTTAACCATCATTAACAATCAGATGTCCTTCTCAGAGCAGGAGCTCTCTACTGATTCAAAAATAGCCCTTTTTAGATATGTCAGGTTAGATGTAGAAAATGGCTCATTAGTATTGGCCCACCAAAGGGTCAGTCCTTTCAATAACTGTACACATCTTACAAACATTTCAGTGGGAGAGCACATCCATTTGTAATTGTGATTACCACGCTGGCATTTATGTAACGCTCATTGTCTCCGTGACCTTGAATCTCATCAAGCGTTCCAGTCTCCTCCAGAAGCAAGTGCTCAACAGTCAGGCTAATGGAGTACTTAAAAGCCCTATTAAGGAAAAGAAAAAAAAGAAACAACAGAAGAGAGGAAGAGAGGCTTAAAAGCCCTATTAAGGAAAAGAAAAAAAAAACCAACAGAAGAGAGGAAGAGAGCACAAGCACTTTCCCTCATCTTCTTTTGCTGCCGTCCTGCTGGAACCTCCATCCCCTTTCAGTCTCATCCTGTCTTTTCTTGTTAGCAACTCATTTCCAAAACACACTACAGTCCAATTCAGATGCTTTTTACCTCCCTCTCTGGCTTCATGTCTTCTTACTGCTCAGTTTCTGCCTGTGCAGGTGTGTCTCAATCTCTTGCTTGAAAACAAGCATCCCCAGCTGGCCGTGAGAGGCCTCGTTCATGGCCTTGGACTGCATGCACATCTTGTACTGCTCTGGCGTCAGCTCGTCCAGACACTGCTTTTCGTGCCACAGATGGAAGAGGCCCCTGACAGGCGTTCGGACTACGATGAGGTTGCTGTGGAGGTATTTGCGGTACAGATGTACGTCTTCACCACCCCAGCCTTTAATGTCCAGGTCAAAGCCACCTGACACAAACAAAATCCAAAATAAAACTAGAGATACATACTAGCAAACCTGATGCTATTAATTGCACTACAATTGTTCTCCGGCTCCAGTCAGACCATTAAAACAGCCACACTTTCTGCCAACATCAAAGCGTTCAAATTTCTTAGCTTCCAATCTTTCACTATCAGACAAAATTGCTTTATTTGTACTGAGCAGTGTTTATATTCTGGTAATCTCTTTGGCACCCAGGAATAGTCTGAACATTTAACCAGAGCACTGCTGCAAATTAAAGGCAGTGCTGGCCAAGGGACACACTGGCCAAGGGACACACTGGCCAAAGGAAGCTGATAACAATTTTCTATGTTTCAGTAAAAAGGCTGAAGTGTATTTTTCTTACCTATGTTGATAAAATCAGATCTGTACTGGCAAGTCATCCCAAAACCAAAGTCTCTCCAAAATCCAGTCTCTTTTTTAATAATCTGCATGGAGGGAAAGGAATGTTTATATGGGAGCAGGAATACTTTCAGTGTAAGCAGCAGACAAGTCCCTCAATGCAGTCAGAAATAGGAGCACTTTTATTCTTCCACACGTAAATCCATGGCTGATCCTGAATTTTTGCAGATATTCATTGCATCTTTCTGCCCCTCAAAAAACAGCTGTGTCATTAGCTGTCATGGATAAACCCTCTGATCTGGAATGATCAGGTTTCGCTCCACTCCTGCTGTTGTAGACCAAGTGGAGCAATATCATATCGCTCTCTGGAGTTTGCTTCTTTGCAGTCAAAACATCCTCCAAAATCATTAGTTTCTACAGGATTCAAATCCTACGTAGGAAACATACTGGTAAACCAGGGAAACCAGACTCTGCTGTAGAGCAGATGGTGGCTTCTGGATTGCGGACCACGAGAGCTCTGGAAGAGAACAGTGGTTCTAATCTGATTGCACAGCTGACAGCTTTTTGATTACCTTAGTTTTGACAAAAATTAGGAAAGTGTTAAGAACAGTTTTCCATTACAGAACTGCTAAATCCATCTAAAATTGAAGTCCAGCAATGCTAGGTGGTAGACATTTATCCCATAAAACCTTTGTAATAATGAATGTGCAGCTTACGTTACTGAGATGGACCATGAAAACATTATGTATTACAGGTAGAAACCATGGCTATAATTTTCAAAAGCAGCTACCCCAAGGTCGTAAGTCGTGTGTGAGTGGTCGTCTCACCCAATCTGGTGAGACATCCAGGAGTTTCAAGGGACTGGGAGACTGGGACAGGTATTTAAATCCTCTAAGCAAGACAGCAGTACTTCACAGTCTAGAAGGTCTGGTTACACACCTACCCCTTAGCAGCTTTTTCTGAAAATTTTGGCTTCACTTGCGACTAAGTTACAGAAGATGACCAGACAGAATTTCCGTTTCTGAATTTACGAATCCCAGCATTTCCTTTACTAAAACTTCCTCTTCCAGAATAGTATCTCCTGATTTCTTGTTCATGCCTCCCCTTTTTGTTGATAACCCTTGTCATTTCAATGGCTTTTTTTTTCATTTTACTGCTTGCATTGCTCTCTCTTTTTTTATTTCTCCTTTCCGTGAAAAAGCCAAGCCACTGCAGAAGCCAATTAAAAGGAAACAAGATTGTGTCTGTCAGGTCTGCACTGTAACTAGACATTTCCATAATGAGGCCCTTCCAGTGCGCTACTCATATGCATTAGCATTATTATTTTCCATTAGTGCAAGTGGCTGCTGCACAAATCAAATCCTTTCAAAGATTTCGGAAGGCTTTTTTTTTTCTCAGCAGCCCGAGTACCAGGACAGAGAGCTAACACTGTCTTGTTTCGATGGCACGGATCTGGCCTCATGCCTGGGAACTAATGTGGGCTGGAAATAGAAAAATCTACATAAAAATGAGATTGGCAGTACTACTTTAAATCAAGAAGCTTTTCTGACATAAGCATCACATTTTATGATTCAAATATTAGCTATAAATATTTGCACAATCCTGTGGAATTTATGCTAGCTTGGGAGCTAAGCTCTATTTCATTTCCCAAGCACAGTGCTTACAAGCCTGAGGATCCCTGACGGGCTCTCATCAGAGAGAGAAGAGCTAACATGAATCCCATGGTATTATCAGAACAAGTTTCCTGTGAGGAAAATAACAGTGGAAAGGATTTTCCAGGCTCTTCAGTAAAAGACTTTCTGGCTACCTGTTGGAGAACACAGGGTGCAGTTGACAAAAAAATATTTAAAAATATTTCCAGTGAACTTTTCAAACTCTCATTCTTCATTTTTCTAGAGGGATTGCACGAGGTGGGGCTAGTGATGACAGAAGACTGGACTCAGACCCCTAGTGATCTTTTTCAGCTGTGACTGTTGCTGGGCTCACAACAGCCTAATTCTTACCTACCAAGAACAGCAACAGAAGCTGGGATGCTCTGGAGACAGCATCCAGCCTGGGACAGGATGAGCCCTGATGGATGCAGTGGCTGGCAGTAAGAGCTGTGGCAGGCTGGGACCTGACCAGAGGAACTGAATGAAGCAATATAGCTGGATTATGCTTCGATTTGAAAATTCAGCCTCTTACCAGCACAAGTGGGCAGAGGGCCGTGACCCGCTGACTCTGGGGAGAAGCAAGAGTGGAAGGTGTACATAAAGGGAAAGCCACCGCTTCTTCCACCCCTTTAGCTTCAAGACAATGCAATGCCAGATCACAAGAGAACAGAGAATAGCATCTGCAGCAGTGCCACTAGCATTCACGTGAACCTCTCGTCTGGGTGCTCTGCTTCTTCCTCGCAACAGCTTCCTGCTCATCAAGGAGATTCGTCTGGGTTTAGCTACATGTTTTAATCGTATGCCTTATGGCAAGGTTTTTAAAAATAATGTCTTGTTGTCACGCCGAAGATAAGCAGGTGAGATCATGGAAATCAGTGGAGTTATGCTGTGTTGTATCGGTGCAAGATTAAAGCCAGAAGAGACAGCTCCAAGCATGTCATTTGTCTCTGAGACAACGTGGTACACTTCAGAAACACACTGTCTGCTCACAGGCAGCTTAACCATGAACTGTGGGATGGGAAAAGCCACTGTAGGTGTTCAAGTAAATGGGGGAATAACTGTGACAGCTCTTGGAATTCTGTTTTCACTGACTCATCTAAGGATATCTGTGCTTTTTACAAATGTCAGCTCTTCGAGATGCAAGCAAAGAAACTATTCAGTGCAAGGAATAAATGAGAGCAAGATCAGGCACTGTCACCCCAAGACAGCACATGATGGAGGCATTGTTCGACGATTAGAAAATCCATCCTGGCAGAGAAGTAGACAGTTTAAATTCTTAGGTTCCATGTATAAAACATCAGACAAGGGTTAAAATAAATGGTACCAAGATACTTCCCTGGCAAACTTCACTGCAGAACTCACAGTAAGGTGAACGCTGTAGTTAGTTTTGTCTGTGTTGTAGTCACTGTGCACAAGGAGTAGGGAAATGCTACCCCAGAGCACATGCACCTTTAAAAAATGCTTTGTTCAAATAAAAGCAGGCATTCAGAGAAGGGTGTACTTACCAGCTGCTGTTCTAAAGATGGGATGGAATCATGGCGGCCATAAATTATACTGGGGTTATACTGGCTGAAGAGAACAGGATAAAACACCTTCTTCCCTGGAAATGACAATAGGTTTTTTTGTTGTTGTTGTTAAAAGCTGTATAAAACACACTTCTCTCTCTTGCAAGATGTTCAGGTGTCCTAGTTTTAGCTGGGACAGAGG